GGGGTGATTAAGATTTTATTCACGTAGTCGTTACTTGTTTTTTTTTTCATAATACATAATTCACTAGTAATTTAAGTATGCATGCAGTCTTAAGCTATAAAGAAGAGTATGAGCCAAATTATTTCTTTTTCAATTTTTACCTGTGAAATGATTAAACATCATAATTATGAATTACTACGTAAAAACAAAATAGGGGGGGGGGGTGTCTTGGAATCTACTACGAGTCGTCACCGAGGGAAGGGAGCGGTCGAGAAAACTAAAAAATAGGTCACGTAGTTTGTGTATGTTCCCTTAGGTTAAAGAAACAAAATAAAAATCAAGTGTTTAATTCCATGGATAAGTAAAAATACGAGATAGATTTTTGTGTTCGATTCATTATTTCTTATATTTGAATGTGAATTGTAAAATGCTATTAACTTTACTTCTTTATTCTTGGTATTAAGAAATGCATGAAATCACATAAAATTTTGCACACAACAAAATCATTAACAATTATGATTTTAACAAATTAGTTTTCTTACTTTCTTTTTAATTTAGCTTTTTAAATTGACTGTTTATGGCTTCGTTCGTTTTCTGCCATATTTTTTTTTAATGTTTATAAAAAAATTTCTGCATAGGTGCCTCAAAGCAACGTCGCTTGCCGCCAAAAGGATATAATATACGCGTATATATTTCTATTATATATCAAAGTTTTTATATAGATTATATAATATACTTAGTAAATGTTCTTAAGAACCAAGTAAACGCTAACCGTTTTTTTATCTGTGATATTGTGTTAAAAATAGATTTGTAAAACTGTAGTATTTACTGTAATATAGTACAATAAAAGTTGTATGTTTAATAATTTCTAGTATTATTTTTATCTCCAACTAGCTGTTGCTCGCGACTTCCTTCGAGCGGAATAAAAAGAAAACTTAATTAGTAGCCTGTGTTCTTCCAGACTATGTTCTACCTATGTCAAATTTCATCAAGACCCATGCAGCTGTTTTGGAGCTATCTTCTAACAAACATGCATCCGTCCATCATAACATTCGCATTTATAATATTAGTATGAAATATGATAAAATACAGCCACATGTCAGTGATTCGAATTCGACCAAACGTAATATTCGATCCTTAAGATTGATCGAAAAATGTCAGTCTGGGACAGTCCGTAGGACAGATCCTACTCGCCCAGACTCTACTTATTGAGAACTTGACAACTTCATTACTATCTATGGTATCACGATATTATTTTCTTACTTATAAATGCATTTTTTTAAAATATATTTTTAAACTCGATTTTCTTTTTTTCTCTAATTTGCACCTCCTTTTGTCCAAGGAGGGTCTTCGTATCGAAATGTAGAGGTCAGGAAGGGCGACAAAATTTGAATAACAAGCGGCAAATGTTTAAATCCGCTGTTCCGTACTACGCCAACGGCAGGGAAGCAGCGCGGGGGTCCCTTCCAGAGCTCACCCGCCGCCCCGCGCGCCATCACACCGCGACCTTCAGTTGCGCTTCATCACTCCGCGCGCCGACACATCAATCATATTTGTCTATTTTGTGCATCTTTCATTCTTATTACAATCATCAGCAACCAACCAGCCTTTCATCACAACATACAGTCCACTCGCTCAACATCCGCCACTGTAAGTGCTTTAAACCCTTAAACGACGCTTAATTGACCTTTGTCTAATTGGGGGTAATAACAGTTTAAAAAGGTCAAATTAAACAAAAAAAAAACAAAGTCATAACGTGAAAAGTATATTAACAAACCAGACAAAAACATAACAATGACCAATACCAATTAATAATTACTTTTTTTCAGAAATAATTAATATTCAACAAGCAACCAACAAATCTATAGAACAGAATAAAAAAACACTCCATGTAATTTTAAATAGTAGGGAAATAACAAACAGCATATAGATTTTAATTTAAAAACTAATCAACCCACTTCTATATGTAAAAAAAAAATTTACGCACCACATAAAAGGGAAAAACAATAATTTTTGAACAAAAGAGGGGTATCATCGTCGGTTACAAAATTTCTATCAGGTCGCACGCTCGCAAATGGATTCAATTTAACCTCTGATATAACTTTATAGTCAACTTCTGTATTCTTCTTGATCGTTTCTAGATCATTCTTTAGTTCTCTCATCGTGCTAGAAGTAATGAGGAAGGGTATCTTTTGTTTAAAAATGCAGTTCATCGTTGAAGACCACACTTCTACGCCGTTGTACAAAGATGAACGATGTATATTCGGATTGAAAGCACATACTGAAAATATAAATATTTTATTAAAAATATAGTTTACTTTATACCCCCAGTTAATGCCCCCAACGTGTACAACCCAACTAGGGTTGCCAGACTGGCCGGACATCTTACATGCGACCGTCAGTTGACTTTCATCGCCTGCGCTCGGCCACTCTCGTTTGCAAAATGTAAAAAGCCAAACTCGGACACGTTTATTTTGGTTAGACGCAATCAAAAAGCCTACCTATATACGACTTTAGCCGGATGTTTGGCAACACTAAGCCCAATTATTCTCAAAGCAATAGTATTTTTGATAATTAAAGATAAAACTGTAGTTATTAAAATCCAATTGCGCTTATCGTCTACCTGATGAGTGCAGAATTAATATTCTGCCAAAGATGTGGCATACTGACCAGGACCTTTGCCTTTTTAGTGAGGTAAATAAAAAAGATGTAAAACAGTCGAGGCTGCCGTGCTATTGTTTTCAATTTATACTTATGTACCTTTTATATAAAGTCGCCAGTTCTTTTTCCACTGACGCGATTATACAAAAAAACGCTTAGTGAAAATTGGATTTAAGTCTACAATCTTACCAATATCAGGTATTGTAAAATCATCACTCGCCCAATATTCATGATATTTCTTGTCCTGGAAACTGAATGTAACTCGTCTCTTGTTCACGCGGCAGTTCTCACAGGGCCTGCAACATTAAACAACAAGCTTCACATGGCTACCAAAACACAATATACATATTAATTAAAATAAATACTAATAATAATAATTAAATGATCATTGACTACAGTAAGAGGGAAATAACTGCCTTACTTAAAGACCCATAGTTTATATTTGTTATGTGAAATCTTATTATACATAATATTATCTTACAGACCCTTACCTAATCTTGCCAAGTAAGTCCAATGGTAGATTAGCGGCATTAAGGTCGTGTCCTACAAGAGCGATGCGCAGCTCCTTTAGTCCTGGCTTTAGATGCAGCAGGAACACCTCCCACTTGCCCAGACTGTCAGCTTCTAGCTGCAGCTCAGCCCCGATCACATGTATGGTGAACGTCGGTCTCTGGAAGGTACAAATGCATTTATCTCTATAAATCTATAAATGGAAAGACGATTACTTGAAATTGACGGATTTCGCTTCGTTCCGATATAAACGAGCTTATTGATGTTAATTATATCTGACATATTAGTTTGGATCCACACCACCCCTACAAATCGCTACCATCAACGCCAAAATGGCAAAAATCAAATAGGCACAAAATATTACGTCTAATAGCCAATCCATTAGAGGTCAGTGTATCTAACGCACCTTATGTCCGTTGACGGCATTGACGGTGTTGCCGGTAATGACGTGTCGGTGAAGCTGGTGGCAGAAAGCGACGGTGAGTGGCGCGCTGGCCAGCTGCGTCAGCGCCGCGTATTGCACGTCCGACATATCTATACAAAATATTGCATGTTAAAACCACACTTAAACGTTAATTAATAACAAAGCGAGTCACTTAGTGTAGTTTACACATACGACATGTGTAGTAAGAGAGACGTAACGGCAGTTGACTACGATTTTACCACTACTGACATAAATTATAAACGTATAAATAATTCTTCACACTATTTAAAAGTGACAAAGTATAAAACATCCAATTCCATAACATATTGAGTTCTCACCGCCGACATACACGAACAAAAACATATCCAAAAGAGTCCTAGAAGTCTCTGAGTTTCAAGGAAGACCTGGCGGAGGTATAGGATTGGGAATAATAATATTGATTGTAAACTAGAAGAAATTTAGTAGGAGGATTAATAAAAAATTTAAGAAATACGTTTAAGAGAAAAGCTTTGTTATCTCCTTACCGATTTTTTCTTCATACATCGATGCTAAAACTTCGTTCATCTTATCCGGTACATTGTAATAGTCGACCAACACTTTACCCGGCAGCCGTGGCTCCAGTCTGCCGTGCTCCTGCTGGTGGAGGACCAGCTTCTGGTACAAGGCATATGGCTTGCACCAGCGCTGATGAGTTGGTGGTAAATGCTCCGGATTCTCAATACAGTATGATACCTGATATAGGAAAGAATTTGTAAAGCTTTTATTTGGTATCATCATCATCAGCTCACTATAAGTCCTCACTGAGGGGCTCGGAGCCCACCCTAAATTAGCCAACAACTAGTTTATAATCATAGTAATATTTAATAACTAAAATTCATCTAACTCTGGAAATACATTCATATCACAATCTCTTTTTGATAGAAGAGATCTAGCTTTTTAAATCAATGTATTTAAATCCATAAAGATCTTTCTCACCTGTCCGCATCCATCGCAATCCATTAACTTTGTCTGTCTCCACTCTCTGCATGTAACATCAGCGCACATCCTCGGATATAAGAGAACTTCTTGTTCCCATGGCAACAACTTTCTCTTTAGCACTTTCTCACAAGACAGGATCATCTGCATTCGAATCAGACGATAATTTTGACCTGATACATTTTGTGTGTCGCTGTAAATGTGCTTCTGATCTAAAAAATACAAGGACAAATTGAAATCAAAAATAGATTGTGATAGATATTACAAGAAATATCAAAGCGTGGTATGAAAAAACTTTAAATATTAATGCTATTTGGCATACGAGTAAGGCTGGGCTTAGGAATAATGGGATGGATTGCATGAAAGGTGACTTAAGAAGGGATTGACGGTTGAAATGATATATGATTGATCGATCAGGAGGACACAAACCTGGTTCACCATAAAGTGGGATAATAACAAAGAGGTGATGAGGTTACGATGATGATGAGATGTAACCTAAAAGAGAACTGACCTTTTAAATGCACTATAGTGGAGACAGCAAAGCATAAAGATTGGTGTCTCGGCCAATCTTCGTCTTTATGTTTTTGACTACAATAAAAAAGTAAATTACAAAACTTGCAAGGCACTCTAGTTTGCTTTAAATCTTTTCTGCAAATATGACAAACACTTGAAAGAAAAACCTTTCGAAATATATATTTGTAAACATATTCCTCATTCCCGTTGTTGATGTATGAAAAAGATTCAATTTCATTTTTATCTTTTATGAATTTTATTTTGCTATCAGTTTGACATTGTTTTGATTTCTTTAGAGACTCATCGTCCAGTTGGGCGTCGATCAAATCCTTTATTTTTACTTTAGCCTGTTGTTCGTTAGGAGTTTTGTTCTTTTCCTTTTTATAATCAGTTTTATTCGATGGTACAGGAATGTTGGGGCAGCCTAATAAGTTTTTTGGCTGCGAAACGGGATTTATGTTTTTTGATTGCCCTTTATTTTCTTCCTCATCTAAAGGTGGAGTTATATTGATTTCAGGTTTAGTGATAAATGATTCTTTTTGAGGATTATTTTGGATATCATCATTTAATTCATTGGCGATTATTTCAAATGTTTTGTTAATCTCCACGTCATCAACACTCGATGTTAGCGCGTCCTCAAAATTTTCTATTGCCTCGAACTGCACCTCTGATGACATCGTCTTGTTACGTTCTTTGTCGCAAGAAGATTGCTGTTGACTTCTCTCATCTGAACTATTTCCCTTTTCTTTACATTTACTTTCATTTGTAGAAGTGTTTCTTGATTCCGAAGTAACACTCATAGTCTGCGATACATTTTCTTGTTCTCGTCTTTTCTTTTTCGCTCTACACTTCTGGTCTCTCCTCCGTGGGGAAATAGGAGGAGTTGTACTATCAGAATGGTCGATATAAGAATCATTTTCAGTCTTTAACTGAACCGATTTGATATTTTTTGAAGGAATCGGTGCATTAATTCCTTTGGTTGATTTTTCTGGTTTATTATTTTTGGACGTATCTACATCACACTCATTTCTTGCTATTTTTTCTTCCTTCTCTTTCATTGCTGTTAGCTCTGCTAGAGATTTCTCCAATGACATCCTTATTTGTTCCAAATCTTTATTGACTTCCATCATTTTGGATTTCAAATCAGTCTTTTCTTGGTGGGTGGTATCTGTTGCGCAGGCAGGAGTCTTAGTTGGTGTACGTGTCGGTGTTTCGCGAGAATCTTGTACTATAGTGGAAGGTACTGGAATATTAGACGACTTTGAATGCCTGGAAGTAACTTCTTGTATGTTGTCGTCTAACAGCTGCTGACTGACAGAGCGCGGTCCAAAAACATTATCGGAAATATTATAATGAGATTCATCCGACGTACCTGTGTCATAGTCGTCGGTTTCCGAACATTTGACTTGACGTTTTGCTTTTGATTTATCTTTCCTGGGCATTTCTTCGAGTAAGTTTGGTTTGCCGTCCTGTTTAATATTCTCATTAGTATCTTGTACTTCGATGTTGAGCCCGACATTAGATTCTAATTTTATTTCAAGTTTGTCAGTTTCGATTGGAAATTTCTGACATTTGTCTTTTAATTTTTCTTCTGTTGCGCCATCAAGGAGTTCAATATTTGAAGTATTTTCTTCTAAATCTTTGACATTTTCACATTGACCGATAATATCGGACTCGATTGGTGTCAAATTCGATTCATTCGTTGGCGTGAAACTTTCCTTTATTTTTTCATCTGTATGCGACAGATTGCTCTCAGTTCTTGAAGGTTCTAAAATTTCTGTACTTTTTGTTTCTACATTTTTTAAATCTGAACTCTGAACTGGTTTTTTCTGTACTGGTTTCGCGATTTTTGCCTTTGGTTTTATTTCTTCAGTATCACTTTTAAGAACAGAAATTGCAACAGCATCTTCCTTATCAATTGGTTTGTCTTCAGAAATCTGTTGAGCAGCAGCGGCATTTGAACTATCAGTTTTAATATCGTCATTAATTTGAATAGAAGTATGCTCATTGCTTTCTTTTTGAGTATCATCCTTAAGCTGTGGAACTTGCTTTTTTCCTTTCTTTTTCTTTTTGTTTGTTAAATTACCATTTTCTTGTAACGTCATAATATCGTTTTGATTTTCTGTTGACAAAATTACCTCTGAATCCACAGCACACTCGGTAGGTTGTTCTTTGCTAGTTTCTTGATCCATTTTTTCTTCTTTTATATTTTGGTTATCAGTTTTTTTCTCAATTAAATCTTCGAAGGCAGCTGTACATGATACCACTTCCTCAGGTTTATCAGACCTTTCAGAATCGTGTCTACGTTTTTTCTTTTTATTCTTTTTACTACGCTTAACTTCAAATTCTGGTTCTTCATCCGGACTTTTTTGTTTTGGAATTTCAGTTTCAGGATTTGGTAGGTCTATATCAGATTTAATATCTATTACAATGTCATCTGATTTCTCTGTGTGTTTCTTCTCTTTATTTTTATTTTTACGAGCACTCGGCTTAACAGCGCCATCTATTATAGGATTATCAACATTTGATAAATTGATATTTTCTTCAGTAATTACATTTTCTTCATTGTCTTCTTTTTTTATGTCTTGTTGGTCTTCGATAGTTGATTTTTTCTTTTTACCTTTATTCCTTTTTGGTTTGACGGGCGTGTCTGTGATGGATGGAATCTCTTTAGTAGGCTCTGTTTTGTCTTTATTGATTTCTTCATTTTTAACTGTAATTTCTTCAACAAGAGCTTCAGTCACGTCACTTTTGTCTTGCGTAACATCAGTAGGGTTCAATGAACTTTCTGGCCATTTCTCTACGGTAACATCACTTTTGGCTTCAACTTCTGTACGAGGCTTTGTTGATATCACTTTGGAACGATTTTTACTTTTATGTTTTTTTGAATTCATAATTTATTGTAACTGAACAATTGCAATTTATATTGTATTCAACAATATGACTGTACCGAGCTGAATTCAAATGTCGTCTGCCCGATTTAAGCGCATGCGTTTATTCTTGTCTACAAATTCGCGTATGATTTTTGCCGAAATGTCATCTAGACAATTGTTCAATCGATTTTTGATCTAATGTCTATGCAATAAAGTTTAATTTGATTTGTTACTGTATTTACGTGTAGTTGTTTTGTGCATAGTATTCGATAGGAGGAAGCACCGCTTGCCAAAAGTGCATTCACGTTATGACTTAGTTAAGAAACTATAAATATAATTTATTATTAGTCCACTGACCCACTGGTGAAGCTTTTACGGTGTTTAAGTGCCTGATGGGGTTATTAGCAATATATCAATTATTACTTTATGTTTTTTTATTCTGTAAAGTAGTTAATGAATTCACATAAGTTATCAAAAATACGAGCTTTTAATGAAGAATAGTAAAGCGCCATCTCTTGGTCGATATTGCAAATAAAAAGCGTTTTAAAACAAAAAAGAAATATTTATTTTTACTTTTCTCTTTAATAGGATATTAACAGAAATGTTATTAGTATTATATGTTAGTATTCTAGAACATAACATTGAGTAAAATATTGATATAATAAAATTAAATATTTTTTGTCATAATCTTTCTGCAGCGCCATCTCTTAGTTAAAGTCAACAATCTGAAAGATGATTCAAGTAAAGTGCGGCAAGATTATTTCTGCCCGTAAGAGAGGCGCTGCTATCGCGGTTAGTTCTAAAAAAATTAATTATGGAAAAAAATGGATATGCATCTTTTTAATGATTTTTTAACAGTGGTAGATGTCAGAACAACATGTGCATAAATCTGTCGGCTCGCCCGGTGTCGGATCACACAGAAGACAAACGTCAAGTGGAAGCTTTTCCGCGTAGTCTGATGAGTGTAGTACCGATAGCCTAATTTTAGTCTTCTTCCCCTTCCCATCCCTTTCTTATAGGGAATGATGGAAAGGGGAATTGGTTTTGACGGAACATATTATTTATGTGCGTCCTCCGCCGATTAAAGGCAACGCATCTGCAATTGAATGTTTATGGACAGGCTTCGCTTCGCTCTTTCGGCGCATCCAGATCCAGATCCACTAACAGTGGTAGAGCCCGCTTTAACATCTTCGCACGAATTGGCCCGGTTCGACCGGTGAAATACCACGACCACACAGAAGACAGCCGTGAAGTGGAAGCAATTCCGCGTTTCGTCTGATGAGTGTGCGTCCCGGAGGATTAATTTAGTCCTCTTTCCCTTCCTAACCTTTTTCTTATTAGGAAAGGATGGGAAGTGGAATTGAACTTTCCGGATGAGAGGATGCATGGAAAGGGAAAATATTTTCTTTCTGTGCATCCTCTCCTCCGTCGATTAAAGGTAGGCAACGCATATGCAATTGCGTATGTCTATGGGCAACGGTCATTTCGCTATTTCGACGCATCAAGATGGCCGCTTGCTCGTTTGCCACGTTGTCATATAAAAACTCCATACAATGTAACTTACAATAATAAAAATAATAAATTAAAAATTGTCAAATTATGCAAAATTCTTTCTGACTTATACAACAGACAAACAATACTACATATATAGAACAATCCGTATTACAACAAAAGCACTTACAGATGACCCATATTATATTTTTTTTCAGACAAACGGACAAGCGAATTGCATGTCGATTTATTATATTGTTTAGACTGCCATGATAACGTAGTAATTCAACACTTAATGCATTGCAATAAAGATTATTTTTAAATGTAAAGGGAAAAAAATGAGATGAAAGTGGCCCTCGTTTTAAAATGCAAATGAAGGGTTGGCACACCCCTTACATTATAGTCTAAGAGCTTAACAAAATTTATAATATACACATTTCAATAGTGTTTTTTAATCTATTTTTTTATAAACAATTTTCTAAATGCCATTTACTTGAAATAACTGGTTGAGTATACGACATGTTTGAGCTAATCATTAAACTACTAAATGAATGTCTTTAGGTAATAAATTTATTTATGCTGATTTTGAGATAAGGTACAGATCTTTCGAGAAAGTTATGAATTTTTCGAGCTGTTTAATTTTTAAAGTATCTAATAAAATGAGATGAATAGACTAAATACAAAAAAAAAAGTTTTGCTTAACTATTCTATTATTTATTTATTATTCATCATAATTATTACATAAATATATAAATTACTTGTAACAAGTCCTTTACATTTAAATTCAAGCTAAAATTAGTAAATAATAAGCTTTTTAAAAAGTTCTTTTGTTAAAATAACAATTAAAACAATAAACTACTATATTTTTTAAATATTTTAAGAATAAATAAAATGTGTACATTTACTTTATCTAATAATATAAATGTATACTATCTCTTAGACTATGTATTACACAGGGCTGCCCCTCACAGACACCGCGCAAACTAATTATAAGTGGGAACACGCACCACCACAGATGATACACTAATGTAGAAAACGATTCTATTTTAATCATTATTTTAACAATAAAAGTTAGTTGTTTTTTGTCGTTATTTTTCTATCTAAAATTGTTTTGTATTTCAAAGAAATATCGCCATAAAGAAATAGTAATATATACTCATTTAATTGTCAACCTTCTACTTTATTATTTGTTTTGGTATGATGAACCTAGTGATATGTATTTCGATTTTTGTTGCCGTATTTGCTGTTAATGTTTTTAATAATTGTACTTTGATTGTACAAAATAATAATATTTTTAATAGTCGGTTGAAAAAAGGTTTGTTTTGACGTATGTTTTATGTATGTATTTAAATTCCATTGTTACGGTCAAAAGCCTAGACGAATATTGATTGGCATGTCATTTGGTTACTCCTTTTCCCCGGAATGTTATAACATCGGCACAAAACAAATACAGTGGACGAGAGAAATAAAATTATTGGAAAAATAATTTGAATCTCAGTCACTATAACTATTTTTTAATTTCTAAACAACTTTTCTATGTCATCGAGAATATTCTAAAATAAGAAAGTGTTAAAACATATACTAATTTATTTGTTGTAAATGAAATTAAATAAAAAGTTGTTTTAAATTGCTGCCAATAGATGGCATTCATCAATTAGAGCCTTGGTTATTCGGGTTTTTAGGTTATTACATTATTAACATATTATTTTAATTATTCAACAACACAACGTACTTAAAAACTCCATCTCCATGTTAGCGAGCCAGTCCGCACATGTGTAGCGTACAGCGCGCGCCCGGCTCGCGCTACCACAGGACAATGAATCATGAAACAAAACAGTATTATTTGCGTTAAAATCTATACATATAACAGAAGTCATATTTAACAATATATGGGGTAAATAAAACAACGGAAAATCTACTGAATTTATAACTAACAAATTGTCTCGTAAACTTACGATTTTTCGTTACTTCAGAGATTTACTCAACATTTTCTCCAACGTAATATTATAAATAAGTCAATCCTGATAGAAAAATCAGAGTGATATAAAGGTAGTAGCTACACTATACCACGTCATAGAAATAGGGTGAAAGAAATATTTATGTCCTGTTGAATTATTCCGCGGGGTGAGGTTCGCAAGCTATGGGGTGGGCAGTGTGGCGCTAGTGTGGCAACTATGGTCCGCCCTGAGGTATGGACGTTTTTAATAATTGAAATGAAAGCAAAGTTTTGCTTTGATTTTATGATGTTTTTCTATCTTTTTGTTTCAAAATACATGTATTTATTTAACTAATTTCTATTTTCAGTAATTTCACAAACCAAATTTTATTGCTATTCAAACTGTAGTTTATCTGCCGCACTAAGATTCTATTAAAGATGACTTAAACAACGCTTAGAGGAGATTATTTTATAACAAACGACATGTATACATACTCTTGGTCCGTATTCTGTTTTGCACATATTTCTTATGCTAAATTACAATAGTGAGTTACTTATTTATTATTATTTTTTTTAGTTAATTACGAGAACCTGTAGTCATGGAGATAAGTATAGGGATTACTTAAATACCCTGTCATACCTCATACATACATCCAATAAGACACCCTAAGAATCTTTTTATTCATCAATACCATTATGTGTAAAGTTATAAAATGATTCTTATTATCTTTATCTTTTTACTAACTATCACCCGCGACTCCGTCCGCGCGGTATTAAAAGAAAACATAAATAGTAGCCTATGCGTTCTTCCAGACTATGTTCTATATTCATGCCAAATTTCAGCGAGATATATTCAGCAGTTCTGGAGATACCTTTAAAAAACATCCATACATCCAAACATTCGCATTAATAAGTATGATTTGATGAAACAAAAAAAAGACCATGCTCATTTTATGATATCGTAAAGGCAAATAACACATTTACACAAGAACATTATAAAACTTAATATAAATATTGCAAAACGTTTTCTAATAACATTTCATCATATAATTGAGACCAGCATCTAGTTATATTCCTAACTCAAAAGTCCACCCTTTGACGGAGGGTAAATTTAAATCCCCCCTCCCCCTGCCCCCTGCCCCGGTCAGATAGGTGATACACCCTCTACAGCCTCTCTATCAACATCCGTAAATGAATTAGGAAGCGGAGATACCTCCTGAAACTCACCCCCAACCCCCCAACCCTTGCCTCCATCAATTCAAACCGACAAAATCGATTAAACAGAGACAGATGTATAGTATATCGTAAGTTAGAAAGAGATAGAGGTACACTCAACTAATTATTGTTCGGATGTAATTGGAAATCTGTTCCGTGTGTCGGTATATCTCTTTGATGTGCGTGTATCAATTTAAACGAAAATCTACACGACTTTATTGGTAATAGACATTTAGCTTGTTTTTTTTGCAGTTACATATGTTTTGTATTATTGAAGTATGTTTAATTATAATAAAAGTTGCCAAATTTTATACATTTGCGAAGTAATATTTAGTATTTTTAAACATCATCATCAGCTACTATATGTCACCACCGAGCGGCTCGGAGCCTACCCTAAGTTAGGGGTTATTAGGCCATAGTCAACCACGTTGGCCATGTGCGGGTTGACTTCACGATGTTTTGCTTGACCGTAAAAACGTCGAACAAATAATATGTAAATCGAAAATCGAAAAACACATTGGTATATAGCGGGATTCGAACCCAGGACCTGCCGATTACAAGTCAAGTGCTTTAACCCCTGAGGCACCGACGCTCTGTGACGCTCTTTTTTTTAAGTATA